ATAACTGATTTGGTGGGGGTTCAGTCATGGTTTGGGCAGGGATAATTCCTACTCTATGTACTCCACTGCACCTGGGCGACGGTAATCTTACAACATTCCAAAGACGTTAAGTCGACGTCTCTACAACAGCAAGGTGGGAACATGTGCAGCTGTTGCTAATACCAACCCGTTATTGACACTAACGTTTGTTTCCCTATAAAGGACACTTCCTAAAGTCATGCGTTATGTGGTTTCCATACTGATTTTTTCATGGCATGTGGAGAATAAACACAAAGTGCTTTCTTTCGAGTTATTGTCTTTTCTGAAAGTTAAGTTAGAAGAAAAAAACACCATGTTTTCACTCATTGTCAGTATCATGATTTCACACCTTGCCTTTGGTGAGTATAATATACATGCATTTATGGTGAATGTAAAACTTGGCTTAGTCACAATATGGCTGAAATATTGCTGAATATGAACTCACTCACTCAATGAGACAACGTTGCCTTGCTTGTTGTGAAGGTAAAGGGGGGCAAGCGCGGTACTGTACAAGTTCCAATACAGATGGCTAGTCCCTGTGAAATCCAAAAGTGACTCCTACTACTACTGTTGAATGTGGAGGGTGCACCAAGCAACACTTAATACCTAATCCTGTTTTAGTGTACGGTCATTACGCCCATACACCAGATGTATCCACAGGCAATACACTTTGTTCTATATGGGTATGTTTTGGACATAAAGTAAGACATGTGATTAGTATACAAAACGTGGGGATTAAGGTCTGGAGTGAGTGAAATTGGTTTTACGCCACTTTCAGCATTGTCCCAGCAATACAACGGCGATGGACACCAGAAATGGGCTTTACACAGAGTGGGGAATCGAACTCGGGTACTCCGTCGCCCTTCAGTCTAGAGGGGCGTTGGGGTAGCCTGGTGATTAAAGCGTTGGCTCGTCACGCCAAAGACCCGGGTTCGATTCCCCACATGGGCACAATGTGTTAAGCCCATTTCTGGTGTCCCCCGCCGTGATATTGCTGGAATATTGCTAAAAGCGGCGAACACTAAACTCAGTCAGTCAGTCAGTTCAGTCTAGATTCCATACCCATCTTCCCAGGCTAAGTGAACTGGTTAAATAATGTCCTTGTAACCCAGCGGTTATTATTCACAACATCGATCAGTTGATTGCATCTCAAAACGGGACCCTTGAAAGTACGTCTTGGAAAATATCTTCAGCAACTCATGCTTGACGTAAGAGACGAAAGGTGAATTTGTTGAAACATGTCATCATATCCCAATTGCGTAGATCGATGTTGATGCTGTTGATCACTAAATTGTCTGATGATCCAGACTTAGATTATTTACAGACTACCGCCATATAGTTAGAATGTTGATGAGTGTGGCCAAACCAAAATGAAGGAATACCAACAGACATCATTCTTTAATCTCAAAGCATCTAAATAAAGTATTGAATGTGTGTATTTTTCCAGATTTAGATTTCATCTTTGAATATTCATTATTCTTCAAATACCAGCTCGTTCTTTGATTCCAATCACCGCAAAATGCAACCGCATTAAGAAATCCAATAGTATACCGAATATGTTCATGTTTGAAATCATTTTGACACAAAATACACAGCACAACGACCAAGATTCTCGAATGGTAAGTTAGACTGTAAAACTTGAGCAAGATACCATGTTGAGTGTGCTAATATTGTGTTTATTTCATTCTTGCCTATCAAACCAATCGGCGTCTGTAACCTGGAAGATCGAGTCATCCAGCCCTGACAAAGATGAAATTGTATATGAAGCAGGCAATGACGAATGGCAGTGTGAGGCGAATGGCATTTCTATATCCTGTGTCCTTGTTATGGACAAATCTGGGGATGGTACGTCAATAGGTCATACGTCAAGAGATGATGCGACAAGAGATGATACATCAGGACAAAGCATATCGGACGTTTCACAGACGTGTTCATGTAACTTTCCAGGGCCGGCTCAACACTACGGCGGTATCCTCTTTCTAGAATCAGAGGATAATATAATGTATTATCTTAACCATGACACAAACACATTTACGGAAATGTACACATCACCAGAAAGCCTCCGATGGTTAGCAGATTCTGAGTCGTGTTGTCTATTTACGTCTGTATGGGAAGAAAATACAGACATGTTCAGTCTCAATCAACACTGTCTCAGTAGTGGACAATTTATGAAAACACTTCTGGAAGTGAGTGTAGCAGCTTATGTCGTCCACTATGATAAAACAACTCAATATCTCTATTACACTCAAGAAAGACAAATACAAGCTTTCAGCATCACCGAATCTAAGACGTCTGTGATTGCTTCAGACTTTGGTTCTGATCATTGCACAGGAGATACGGAATCAAATATCATGATGTGCGTTTCAGCACACCCCGATTACACCGCTGATACCACCCGGTGTACGTTCAGTTGGGCAAACTACAGGAAATCAGAACGCTTGACCCACAAGAAGAATTTCACAGTCCATCTGGAGGGATCTGATAATTATATTGAGGAGGTTTGCTCTGTGATGGACATGATAATATACTGGGATAACAAGGATTTTATAGCCTATAACATGACATCGGAAACACAACGTCCTCTGAATATCTGTACCAATCACCAGAATGAGGAAGATAGCCACTCTGCTGGAGTGTATGGTTTACAATTATTTTTTCAGTGTAATGACAACGGTAATGTTCTTCATTTCTACGACAGGCATCTTCATCACTTGCACGACATATATCTGCCCTTTGAATAAGGGTAATCGCTGGGTATTAATGACAATAATGTCTTCATGTCGTTACACACTCTGTCTCAGTGATTGACACGTTTGGTAACCCCTGTGACATACAAGTCACTGTCCCATCAAGAATCGGTGCGACTCTCCTCAAGCATTCTCAATTGGGATTGTCGTCCCCTTGTTCTGGATAGGTTATTTAGTTTTAGACTCTGAACTACATCAAAATGCCATATGGCCATTAAATGGAGGAGAACATGATAACCCATCTCGATAATTTGTGCACAAACAATTTCGTCTAAGCATGGAATCAATTCATAGAGGAACCAACGAAGATCAAGGATAGCATTGGTCTTCGGACAAATAGAGTTTCTCATAAGAGTCGACTTACGGACATACTCGCTGCATAGATCGACTTTCATAGATGTAAGTCTTTGCACAGTCTTCTACAGGATCTGATTTGTTTATACATCCCTCATTTAGCTGGAGTGCTGTTGTTGTTTGGGGAAGTTAACAATAAAACAACAAAAGTACATGCAGGATATATGTGACAGGCATTGACATCGGAATGGAGATCACTTCACAGAAAGAATCACTGCTGATGTCCTCCTCCATTAAACTCTCACAGTGAAAGGGACAACACTCTGGTTCCAATAATATACCAGAGTGGTCAACAGAGAGGACAGAGAGATAAAAGTTACTACCACCAGCAAACAGTGAATAAGTACCGACTGAGAAACAGTTGGCACCATTTGGACTCACCCTCAAAACAAGAATCGTGTTGTGTTCGAGGAAAGGGACACCTTTCGGTGACAGGACAAATGAAAGACATTAAGTTGAAGATAAGTGACTCTTTGCTTTCTCTCTCTCCTACCTTCTCTCTACATTGAACCATTAAGTTGAGAAAAAATGTGTTTATTATTGTTGATTATTGTTTGATCGGCATTCTAAAATTGAGTGAGTGAAAAATAAAGCATGCTATTTATTTAATATATATTGGTGTTGATAGCATAGAAATACGGTGTAGATTCAACAGCCAAGTGAAAAGTGACCTAAATGAAGTGATGAAAACTTTTGCTTGAAACCTTTTAGGTTTAGGTTTTATCTCGCTGTTACAAAGAGAACACTTGTTAAAAAAGCCTGCTTAGTGCTTCACATAGGTTATTACTTGTGCATAAAATTGAAATATAGATATGGTATAAATTTAATTAATTGCCGACAGGGTGTTGGCTTTTGACCAAAGAAGCAGATGTAGGCAATATCACACCTGCATTTCAGCAAAGGAGCAACATTTAGAAACATAACTAGTCGAAGATGGCAATATAGAGGGACAACTTCAACAGTATTGCAGATGTAGTCAGAATACGGATAAATTAAAACAGTCTTAGGACGGGTTTGACTGAAGAAAAGAATCATGAAAATGTTGAAGATCAGACAAAGCTGCTCATGAACCGATGGAAGTAAATGATCCACCACGACAATGATATGAATGTGGCCAGGTTGGGTATAGAGCTCAAATATGTCAATTTAGGCCAGGGGATGAGGCAATGCTATCCCATCTCCCCAAGGCCATTTTACAGGTTGTAAACCCAATGTTGGAGCTCGATGGACTTCACACTATTGATATGCTCAGATAAATTGGGCTATAGTGTATCTTAAGTAGCAGTTTAGACAATGGAAAATGCTGCCCCTTCAAATGGACCCCAGTTCTATATTCGTCTGTGTCACTACAGGTGAAGTGATGTTATAAATGGCTGCTTTGATGTTACTATTTCAAGTGAAAATATGACGTTATGCAAAGTATAAAGGTAACCGTTTCTAATACAACTATTCTCCATTATGTTTCTGTGGTTTCCTTTGTTAGTGAGTGAAGATATGAATGCCTGAATGAAAACCATAAAATCACTTAGTGAGTGAGTTAATATTTATTGTTAAATCGGCAATATTTCAACAATATCGTAACCAAAATAAGTCATACACAGAGAATAATTAGAGTTATATTAAAAAATATGTCGACAAAGCAGAGTAAAACAACTAGATTCACACAGATATAGATATAAAACTAACATGTAACTGTAAAATTATAACACTATTCTAGACAAGGCACCCATGAAGAGCCACCTTCTCATGGTGGGTGAAGTAACGCCACTCTTCTCGTGGTAGGCGCTGAGTAACGCTAAACGCTCTTCAACCCCCTGTTGTGGACCCGGGGGTATATTTGGTCCACCAACCCGACACTGGTTCCAGAAACAGTGTTCCTCTGCACAACACACTACTTCGCCCCTTACTTCACCTAGACGGGTGGTAGAACTGGGCCGGTTCTATCAATCGACTGCTCACGCCAAGCCCTGTACACTGATTATATGTATATGCTCCAAATTTGATTTGGAATTGTTGAAACTTTGGTCTTGGTTCCCTTTGTTCATTTACACTAATTGATTTGGTAATATGTTTATCTTGAACTTTGCTTAGAGTCTTAATGCCCAGAAGGCGGTGGCTCATGGGCCAATCTGGTTGGATTTATCTTTTCAAGATATTTTCTGCTTGAGTATACCCCCTAGTATCATTTGTGCCGTCTACTGGAGATCCATGAGGCATCGTCCCTGTTGACACTCCATGGTGGGTGGGGAGCTAGGAGGGTGAATCACATATTTTTCTACCATGGCATCCTCACTAAAAAAACGTTCACACGAATCTGATGATTCGTTGTCTTCAGATGATGAAGCGCAAACAACTGTCAACAACCCTGATAATTGGCCTCGTTTGATTGTGATGTGTGCCCCTGCCGGTGGCCCTCTCAAGTTAAATCCCTTAAATCCCTGTCAAAGGGCATGGAAGGTTTGGCTGGGGAGGTTAAAGGTTCCCTGCTCACCGAATGCAGGAAAGAAATACAGTCTAAAATTCTGCTCAAAACAAAGTCTTTAGCAAATGTTCCTGTGAAGGTGTCCCCTCACAGGACATTAAATACCAGCAATGAGTGAGTGAGTTAAGATTTAATGTCACATCGGCAATATTGCAGCCATATCGTGACGAAAACAAGCCATGTAGTGAAAAGTAGAAACATTTTAAAGATTAAAACCTGTCGACGATGGACAATAAAAAGACTAGAGAATCACAGTTATAAATATAAAACTAGCGCAAAGTTAAAATATTCCAATTAAAGAAGACAATACAAAATAAAATACGGGCTATAGAGCGCCAACAACTGAAGGTAGATCACCATACTAAGGCCCATGGGGACTTACATTACTTTTGCTACCTGCATGGACCCTAGCTGGATATACACCATCCCTTCAGCCATTGGCGTTGATGCTTAAAAAGCCAGCAAAGGCATCGTCCGTGCTATTGGACGTTGCCTGTCACACATGAGTGAAACTGACATCGTTACTGAACTGCAATCCCAAGGCGTTACTCACGTCAAACGATTTACAGTAAAAAAGAATAATGATGTCTTCAAGACAAACACTTACCTGGTCACAGTTTGTCTCTCGATGCATCCAAAATCTCTAAAAACAGGATATTGCAACGTACGGGTTGATACTTTTATCCCCAACCCCTTAAGGTGTTATAATTGCCAAAAGTATGGTCACGGGTCAAAGTCTTGCCACAATCCAGCTGCATGCAACGATGTGCTGGTGCGTGCCAAGACAGTACCCATTTGTGATAAAACACCTGTATGTGTCAACTGCTCTGGTTGCCATCCATCCTCATCGAAGGAATGTCCTTCCTGGAAGTTACAATCAATGATTTCACGAGTGAAGCATGAGCAAAACGTTTCGTTCTTTGAAGCAAAACAGATTGTTCTAGCACAAGAACAGTCGGGCCCGAGTTATGCTACAGTTGGTTCTGCTTCTGTTCAGGCCTCTAAACCAAAACATGTTTCATGCAGTTCAGTCGTTTGCCAAAAGGATTATATGTGGGCAAGAACGACAGCTCCCACATTGCTCTCTACTGAAATTCAGACGAAAACTCCAAAAGAAACTTCCAGTGTACAAACCATTGTTAAGACCAAGGCATCTTGAGAGAAGGATTCATCTGTTTCTCAGAAACAAGCATCTAAATCAGACTCAGATGTGAAATCAAATGTGAAAACTACATCCATACCGAGCAATGAAATCAATAAGAAAAATCAGAGCAACAGACCTCCGAAGGGGTCAAATGACCAGGTCCAACTATATAATAAGTTTGGATCACTTGAGGCTATGGATGTGTTCGACCATAGCCAAGGTCGGACTCATAGCTTGTCACCCTCAAGGAAGGTGAGGGGTAGATTTCCTGTACATCCGACGAGGAAATAATGTCTTCAACTATAATTCAATGGAATTGTAGAGGACTCCGGACTTATTTAAACGATATACAGTTATTAAACCAAAATTTTAAACCGTCAGCATTCTGCATCTTAGAAACCTATCTGAAACAGGCATAAGTTTGACTTCCGTCAGTTCAATGCATATCATTGTTTTTCTCTTCTGGGTGAAAGAGCTTCTGGTGGATCATCGATCCTGGTGAGGAACAATGTTATCCATAGCTCCGTTCCACTTAAAACAAATCTTCAAGTCGTTGCAGTTCGACTTACATTACAGGTTGCTTTTACTTTATGCTCTTTGTACATTCCGCCTTCATTGTCTGTCCAACTAGCCGCTCTGCAAGGTCTTTGTGATCAACTACCTAGACCCTGTGTAATCATGGGGGGATTTAAATGGCCACAACCCACTCTCGGGTAGCACCAATACAAACACCATAGGTATATTACTGGAGGATTTTATTTCAAACAATGATTTATGTATTTATAATGACGGTTGAAATACGTATTTACACCATGGCACAGGAACATATTCAGCTCTTGATTTGTCTATCACTGACTCCAGCCTACTGAGTGAGTTCGAATGGTCAGTCCACGACGACCTCTGTAGAAGTGACCATTTCCCAACAATACCAAAACCTGTGAATCCATCTGATGTTTCTCCATCATCAAGATGGAATTTTAACTCTTTCAACACCAGTCAACCAGAGGCATTTACTGCCATGAGTTCCCAGAGACTCTGAGGTCACAGATGAAGCCTATGTTTATGAAGGAAATTATTAGCTTGTAAAACGTTATTGCTACTACATCCCATACACCATTTAAAAGATCTAATCCTACTGTTGATAAATATGAAGTTATTTTTATAATATCATTCAAATAATACAACTACAACTTAAATAAAATTATTTTTGAATGAAAATGCAAGCTTACATTTATAACCTCCAGATAACCCACGAAAGAAGCAAAAACTATAGCGATTTTTTTTCCATTTCTGACATGTCATAACATGTCCGTGCCTTTTTCTGTTATATTTTCATTTTTACGTAATCAGAAAATTACTATAAAAAGATTTCTTAAATAATATGTATGGTCGCCTATTTCCCGATATCTGTGGCTTTCCGCTCGGTAACATGACATAACAACGGAAAATACCTCCGTTTTCGAAGCTTCGTATGAAAAACATGGGAGGCGAATCGTTTGATGTCGGGTATCGTTCGAAAGCTCCGAACATCAACATCATCACTGAACCCTTGCTGAGAGTATTTTCACAGTTGTAAGAAGCGATTTTATTGGCTAAAAATTGGTTTCTAATGACGCTTTTTCGGTACAGTCTGCTATAAGGGTCGTGATTGGTCAAAATCAGACACGTGACATGAGGCAGCCAATCATATTACGGCAATGGATACTGTCCTCGTAAACGAAAACCTTTAGATTTAGACGAAAGTTTTGGGTAAAATAACGCTATTTTGAACATATTAAGCAAGAAATCGCTACCTATACGTAAATTATGGAACTTATTGGACGTATCGTGCTAGGCTATGACCTGTGACAAAAATGCTTCATGTATATATTTTCGCATTAAACATCATGTCCGAGCGTGAAGATTGAGGCGGCGAGAGCCGAGATGTCAGTTGTCAGTGACATTACATGATCGCACCAAAAGATGGAAATAGTAATTTTATGTGTACGTTTGACAACTTTTATGAATGTTGTTGTTGATTTGATTCATTAGTTTATTCAATTTATTTAATGAATTCCTCGAAACATCGTTACTTTGCTCTTTGACAATGTTTATGTGGACCCGCTGCCGAAGCATGTGTCCGAGAATTGTTGTTTTCAATAACATTGCGAAAAATAGTTTATAATTTTAATTCTGCTGATAGTATATGATAAATTGAAATTTAATAAGTGTTTTCAGACATTGTGAAATGTGATAGATTTAACATATGAATCATAAGTAAGATAGGTTCCTAAAATTATGTCTCATTTTGACGTGACTACTGCCTGGCGGCTTAAGCGGCCTCCGGTGTCTGGGGACTCATAACGTTGTGGGCGCTTAAGCGGCCTGCGGTGTTGAATGGGTTAAAAAGGCTAACTGGCATTTATATGAAACTTTCTGTGCTGACAAACGAAAACCTGAACCTTTTAATGACATTCCTGATGCCATAAAATGCTTTTCATATGAACTAAATGACATAGCTGACGAGTGTATCGCTAAGTCCTCTGCAATTCCTCACGTGCGCAAAACCATGGTTTAAAAATGAATGCAAACAGGCTAGGATGGCACAGGAAGAAAGCCGAGCACTATTTCCCGCGCCATCCTATGGTCCGCAATTTGGACAAATTTTAAATTTTAAACGCAAAAGCACGAAACATTTATTCGCGCACACCGATATCAAAGGTGTGGAATATGATCCAGAAAATCAAGGGTAAGGGCTCTAAATCTAGCATTCACCATCTCAAAGATAGGAATCAGTTATTGACTGATAAATCAGATATTGCAAATAAACTTGGTGAGACGTTGGCCAAACATTCCTCCTCGTCTAATTATGTACCTGAATTCCCAAAATATCAAAAACAGCCAGAAAAGAATGCTATTAATTTCAATTCAGATAATGGAGAAAATTACAACGAAACCTTTTCAATACACGAGCTTCATACGGCTCTTGACCAGGCTCACGATACCGCTTCCGGAGCTGATAACATACATTATACACTGCTGAAGTACTTACCAGAATCATGTTTAGAGACGCTCTTATCTATTTTTGATGATATTTGGACATTTGAAAAATTTCCTTCCTCGTGGCGCGATGCTATAGTTGTTCCCATCCCTAAACCTGGACGTGATCATACTGATCCTTCCATTTATAGGCCAATTTCACAAACTAGCTGCGTTTGCAAGACCATAGAACGCATGTTAAATAATCGACTAGTTTGGTACTTGGAAACAAATAACCTTATAACAGATATACAATGTGGTTTCCATAAAAACAGAGTG